GGGTACCCTTTCTGGATACCCTTTTTGGCTGGCTTTTAAAGGGAACCAAAGTCTTTGGGTCCCCCATTTTAGGACACAACCAACTAGAGTTCCACTGGCAGCAAAAGAAATGCTTCCCCAAATCCATCCGTTTTCAACCAAACTGAAATCAAGGCCAAAGTGGTTCGTGTTTTGATCTCACAGGGGATGGCCTCTGCTTCCACTGTCCCCCTTCCTTCTGGGAACATGGACCCCAGGATTTGATAGGATTCGAATTCCATACACCAGGAAAGCAAATCTCACAATTTCCTTTGTGATGACTGAGAGCATTCTTCCATCCACTTTCACCCAATGTCACAAAAAAAAAACGGAGCCCTTAAGCTGCTTCTTAGTGAATCCATTGCTTTCTCCTGCGGGGTGGACTTCTATCTGAACATTCGAACATCACAAGATCGGAAGGTGGTTTCCTTTCAGCCAAAGGCGTCAGATTTCATCAAGCAAAGAGGGTGGTTGCTTCAGGCTCCTTGGAACACGGACCACCTCAACGGGGAACCCCCATCCCAGGTCCAAAACCAGGGGGCAAAGTCGAAGCCCACCAGCATGCGCCGCTCCCGCATGCGCTTCAGCGCCTTCCATTTCGGCGAGCGACGAGGCTGGGGGAAACGGACGCCCCTCAAAGTGAGAAAGGATCGAATTTCAATCGCTAGAACCTTCTTGGAACAGGTTCTTACAAGGGCTAGGTTCGGAAGGAACCCTGCCTTCCTGGCAAGGCCTCTCCTTTCATGATAGAAAAAGCCGACCACCCGAAGCCTGCCTGCCGCAGAGCCCGGCGGTCCGCCGGCATGGTGAAGGCTTGGTGCACTGGCGGCTGTATTTTTCTTTGCAGCTTTGGTTTCCACTGGACGTGGATTTGTTTTGCGGGCAATGCAAGGGGAAACTTGTCCACCAAGAGATGTGCTTCATTGGCGGGCTTGTGGGTGATGGGACTTCCGTCGGTCGTTTTGTTGGGACCAGCCCAGAAAACTCGGCGTTGGACCCAAACAGCTGGGCTGATCCCGAAGGGCCAGGGACAGAAGAACGGGCCGCGAGGTATGGCCAAACTCGCACCGGTGCATCTGTTTGTAGAGCACCTCTTTTTCGGGGGAGTGGTTTAAAGGGAATCCAAGGGGAAACCGCTGCCGTTGTGCAGTTCCCCTATCTTTGGACAAACCCGCACAAGAGCTTTGCCAAAAGCACCAAAGACAACGGTTCGCTTCGCAGTCTTCAGGCCCCGATTGGACGATGATCGAGTCCTCCCCCATGTCCCAAACCCCAAATGGACCACATGGACTGGATAGCGTTTACTTTGTTTAAAGTTGTTAGTTGTGGGGTGGTTGCAAAGTGAAACCAACATCAAACTACACTTCATGGGTTTCCGTTTTTTTGATCCAACCAAAAAATTGTGTTTAAACCAAGGTGAAATGGTACTGGCGTTCTTTGTGGCTTCCCTTCAAACCAAGACAAACAAAATAAATAAGTACCTGCAAAAAAAGATAAGGTTGACCCGAACCTATGCCACCCCCGGCCACCGGCCGCTTTTCACCGCTCAAAGAGCTCGAGCACCAAAGGCGCCCACTGCGAGTCGGCGCTTTGCATAAACCTTCTAAAAGCGCCCGACGGCGAATGGCTCGTGAAACTAATCATACACATGTGTTTGCTTTAAATACACATACGTATACTTCCTATGTACATATATATACATATGTACATATATATACATATGTATATATATGTACACAGCATCAGCTAGAAGAAGAGTGCCAAAAAAGTACTTGGAACAATTGGGTGTTGTCTTGGTTGAAGTCTCCTCCTTTTTTTAATTTTTGGTTGTGTGTGTGTTGTTTGGTTTTTCTGTTATTTTTGGGGGTGAAGGGAAACCAAAAGAGAATCGATGCCCATTGAAGGGATTCAGCATCTTGAGACGAAACCAACCAAAGGAAGTACGCCCCTTGTGAGCATTGCATATGATCCGCAGAAACATGACTTGCCTGTTTTGGGAACACTGGGTGGGAACCGCCTGTCCTCGACAAAACTGACAGCAGGCGATCAGGATGTTTCTCTGGTGCTCAAATTATGTGGGATTCTGATTTCATAGTGTTTTCATAGCGGCCCATCAAGAAAGAGTCCATGATTTTCACAACCACCCAGAAGAAGGTTTTTTATCTTTAGTAATTTGCCCTGCCGACTCGGCAAAGCTTGAATTTGCCCAGGGGCAAGGAAAGGTTGAACATCCCACTCTCTTCGTCCTCGCCGCAACAAATTGACAGATTAAAAAAAAAAAAAAAAAAAAAAAAAAACTAGGGCAAAGATCAAATATCGGGCTTCCCGAAAAATAGGAGGACAACTAGTGTGATTCTGTTTGGAGATTTGCTGATTGCCCTCGTGTCCCGAACCCCAAATTATCCACCCAGCCTCTTTGGTTAGGTTGGCGCGCCTGTTCCACCGCAGAAACCTAGGCCTTGTTCGATTCTACCGCGCCGTCGGGTGGCGTGGCTTAGCCGCTGCAAAGCAGGCTGAAACGCCAATGACGTCTGCATCCCCGCCGTGCTGGCGTGCAGGAGACTCGGCCTGTGTGAAACCAAAAATCCTCCGCCTGGGCCCTTCTTTGATTCACCTGGCAACTCCTTATCCTGATCCGTGCGCTGAAAGATCCAGGCCACATCTGCGCTCTCACGTCCAGCATCCGCAGTGATTGCGTCGTTGAAACAACGAAAGGCCGAAACTCCGGGCAACTCATCCAACAAATCAAAGACCGGGCCAAGCCTTGCAAAAAGTATCCAAGGTAAAATCAGAGCTTTGACAACCGCTGCTTCAGCGGGCTGGCGCAGCAACGCAGCAAGGGCAGAAATTGCCCGCGCGACAAGTCAGGTGCCGACTCTGGCTTGGTCCATGATTGTTAGCTCGACTTGCAAATCTGCAGGCAGTGTCGGTCTTCTGGGTCCTATCGTCGTTCATCACCCTAAAACGGGATCGGGCATTGAGGGCGTTGCCAATATGCTGAGATGTGTGGCTCACAAATCAGGCATGGAAACCGGCGATCGGTTCCGGAAGGCTGAAAATCACAGGTGATTACCTTCAACCTTAACTCGAAATGAGACCCAAACACTGAGAAAAACCAAATTGGGGGGGATGAAAACTACAACCCTAACGAACACCCAAATTGGTTCACCCCCTTGTCCTTTTGCCAAAAAAGACAGGTCGGTTTGGGGCAATCGTCCTTTCCGACCTTTTGGGGCGACCCAACAGTAAAACTATCTCCACTGTTTCTACGCTGGTTGGATAAAAGACGGTGCCGAATTCATTGAGCCTTACGGCCAAAAAAAGCGGGAGGTCCCTTTCAACGAAACCTAAGGCTGCCTTCCAACAAGGCACGTCCAAAACCGAGGGCGCCTCACGAAATCCCGCGCCTCGCGCCTCGCGCCTCAGCGGAGCTGCTTGGAGAGGCGCAGCCGGGGCTTGGAGGAGCCGTCGGAGGACAAGGTGGCGGCCACCTGAAAGGCACCGGATCGGGAAACCCAATCGAGGGGTTTAGAACCCATAGTAACCCGAGCCCAAGAACCTACGAAAATTGCGGTGGCAAAATGAAACCTCCAAACAAAGCCTGCACCCTCAAACTTAGAAATGAGATAGCCAAAATGCTTAAGTGCTCTTGAACAATCTTCAAGCGGGCTTGGCTTCACATATGAACAAACTGTTCCCCAAGATGGTTGGCATCCTTTTCAAATCACTCTTTGTTACACTCCTAGCCCTTGTTTGGGTGGTGAGATTGAAACCGTGCCTTCCTGTTTAGTTTCAGGAAGCACCCGTCAGGTTCATGGGAGCCAAGGATGATTCAACCCCAGGTTGATGTTCATTGGGGGGAGCCGGATCACTTTTCCATGAAACATGAGTCATGAGCACAGCACGAAGTCGGACATACCAAAGTAGCACCACTCACATAGTCCAAGGCGTCAAAGGGAACTTGACAATGCCGAGCTTGAACCTTGGTTTCTGCTGACCCTGCCAAAAGATTAGCTTTTTGGTGAGTTCAATGGAAACCTCTTGGTTTCCAAAAAAAACTGTCCAAAGACCCAATAGAAATCAAGAACAATATTCTAGGGGTAACTTCCCCGTTCTTTCCAGGAACCATTCTTTCCGGAAAAGCAACAAGAAACTTTGGGGGGGAACCATATAAAGCCCTGCAGATTCAAGCGCGGAAAAACTGGATCGCTTTGCAGAGGACTCGCGGTGACACCGGAATCACCTGGCAAACCTCCCTTCAAGGGTGCGGAACGCCGTGGGAAGCTGCATCGCATTCCCACCCCCTGTAGAATATGGACCTCCTCGAGGAATCAATCTGGGTGTTTTGCGGATGGATCTGCTTTTGGACGTGGGCTTTTGGGTTTCCCTTCCAACCAACCCAAAAAAGTGGCTCTCAAAACAAGGAATACACCTGTGTCTTAGTGTTCCAGAAAACCAAAATGGGAAATTTCTTTTTTGAGGATTCCGCGTCCACATTTGAGCCGAAATTGATGGCTCTCAGCAGGGAATCAGGGAATGACCTGATTTCCTTAAGGGAGCCTTAACGGCGGGGCGCGTTTTCGAGGGTAACCTTTGTGGGCTTGGTTTAAAGGGAAACCAGGCGAACCACTCATGTTTTCACACACCTTTTACAAGAACTGGTGAACCAGCGGAGTCATACTCAAAATATGTTGTGAAACACAAATTTCAATTGAAAAATAAGGGGCGGACATCCGCACCGATTTATGACAAGGGGACCGTCCGCCACACACCTTCTCCCCCAATCGGTTTTGACTGTGATTCAGTTGGACCCATCCCACCATGACAACCCCTTTTTTCTTGTTTTTTTTTGTTTTGGGGGTTTGGGGGGGGGGGGGGGAGCGTTTGTTGCATTTAAGTTTTACACGAGAAATTAAGCTCGACCTTTGGGCCCTTGGACCTATACCCCACGCGGCGCGTGCGCCGCCTTGCCCAGCCGCAGCTCCAGCCAGGAGGGCCGCAGCCCGTCCTCGTTCTTGCGGCCCAAAGACGCCGTCATCTGACGGTGCGCGCGTTGGCAAGCAGCAAAACCCGTTGAAACTGATGCCGTTTTTGTTGTTGGTTTGCACCCTTCTATGATCTTGATTTCCGGGGAAGGCTTGGGTGTGCTTCTTTGTGTTTGTCTTGTTGCTGTCTGCCTTTGAGGACTGGGGAAGTTCTTTTTGAGGTCGGTGAGGGAAGCCCAAGGAAACCTCGTGACACTTGCGAAGCAATGAATCTGCGCACACAGCAGCTTAAAGGGAAGAGTGTCCTGGTATCACCGAAGGAACCAAGCCCTTCCAACGAATGTGGGTTTGGAAAACTAGACAACGTAGTCGCTCCCTGTTGATTGTCTTTGGGGAAAATAGCAAAACAATGCGGCCTACTTGGAACCCGGTCAAGGGAAAGGCTATGAATTGTCCGGGGGAAAAAAAAAAGTTGGTGGACCAAAACCCCATGCAAACAGAGTGGGCTATCTAGTAGCCAGAAAGGGAAACCGCCCCCGCCTGCTTGTGGCCAGCTGCAACCGCTAGTCGGTACTGCTGGCTGTCAAGAGCCGCGTACAGCGTCGCGATCCTCACGGCAAACTGCCGTCATCCATGCCAGACTGCCATGGGAAAATGACCCCAAAAGTCTTGCTGATTGTACCATACCCCTCTGCCCAAAAGGAGTATATATATCCATGCAAAACAACGGAGCAAAGGGGTGTGAAGAAGGGGCATGTGCTGCCACCCTTGCATAAAATGGCTTGAACTTCTCATTTCCAGGGAAAACCTGGGTTATGCAAGTGTTTCTCGTGCTTATAGAAGAAACTTTGGGTACGCACCCTAGACCCGCCTCGTCCGCAACGCGTACGACAGGGAGCCCGTCAAAGGCGACTTCCTGATGCCGTTTTCGTGGCTGTGGGTGTTTTGTACCACCATCCCTATTCTGGCACGTATGGACCCTGTGTGTGTGTGTGTGTGTGCAAAAGTGACAAGCTGGACAATTGGGGGGTGTATGCGGTGTACGGCTGTCTATGATTGGTGCATGGGGTGAGAAGGAGCCGAACCCAGTCTTCTCCACAAATAACGAGTGAAGGGACGGATCCCCAAATAAGCTATCAGTACTTCATTGATCACAAAAATGTCCCTCAACACACTTGGTCAGCCAGGAGGGACGATCTTCATGAAAGTGTTGCCTGACGGGATCAAATTTCAACAGCAGAAGTGCCCCAAGTAAAGGGGTGTTTGGGGTCGCTTTTGGTGTGCAGCACCGAGAGTGAGTGCCACCATATCAGGTGCCCACTCTGCGAGGGCCAGCAAAAAGCAAAGCGACATGGAACTACCTTTCGAGCATACCCAGCCCTCCCACCCACCACTTCCTCAGTTTTGGCTTCCAAGGTGCAACAGCTGCCGGTCATATGCAGCCGCCGCCTGGCAACCAGAGACATCGCAGCAGCGATATCTTACCCCCTCCGTGCGGGTCAGCCAAAAGCCAACTAGTGGCGTGGCTGCTTGCGCCCGCCGGCGGGCTTGGGTGGGCGGGTTCGTGTACGTGCGTGCTCTTGTGCGTGTGCGGGAGCTTGTTTTGAACGTAGCCTTTTCAGGTTGGTTAAAGGGAAAAGAAGGAAAGCCACCATTTGAGGGTCCTCTAATTTGACACATGTTTCCATATATTAGGGTCTTTTCCGCCACGTCCTACGGGCTTACTCCTACTCGATCGGCAAGTTGCCAATTGTCTGGTTGCTCAGGAGAAAATCTGAAGAAACTGCTCTTTCTGCACCCAAACGAGTTTCATCTGGGTGTGGCTCAAAATTAAAGAGCTACGGGTTACGCAGGTTTTAGTCTTTGGTCCCATTTACCAAGGTGCCATTTTGGTACATGTTTTCCAGCCACATCTTTCGGGAGTGAAAGGAACCCTGCCAAAGCTGCCCCGGTTCGCCTGAATGGTGTGCGCACCTTTGGAGAAGGTGACAGTGCCTTAGAGGCGAGGCAGTGCCAGCCGCCAGCTACACTCTCCACGACGGATCTCGACATGGGAGGGAATTGGCAGGCTGGCTGGCCGGTCTATGGTTTGGTGGACATCAAACCTGCATTTGACATGGGGATTCGTGTCCAGCAACCATGTTTGGGGGGGTTGCCCAATTCAAGTTCACGGCAGCATTCCGCAGGGCACATCACAATGGAAGAAGGGTGTAACCTGAATTCGTCGCATGTCAGGCACATTCATTGCACCGATGTAGGTTGCACGAAAGAAGACACCCTGGCATTCACTTCGTGATGGCCTCCTTCGAACTTCCCTCCTTCTTGCTTTGTTGACAAAGCGTCCCCCCATGGGCCCCCATTCCAATATTTGGCGCCGCATCTACCTGCCGCATCTACCCGCCACCTGCAATGCCCAATATGTAAGCCACGCTGCTGTCGTGCACAAAGTCCACAGGAGAGTACCTGCTTTGCGAACCAGCAGGATCATGTTTTGGCAAACTCGGGTCTACCCAAAACCCATGGGAACAAATCAACAGGTCTTCTTGCCACTGCCTATAATTGGGACCATCCCCTCACCTTCAGTCTAAGTTTTCGAGAAAATGGCGCCGTTCATGCGCCCGCAAGACCGCCAACAAAATAGGCAGCTGCATCCGCAGCAAGACTCCCTTCGTGAACCCTAGCCCAGAGCCACAAAAAGAAACCTCCGGTGCCCGTCTGGGCCTATCAACCTCAAAGCCTTCAGCGGAAAAACTGCCCAAACAATGGAAACACGGTTGTTTAAGGTGTGGAGGAAACGTCATGATTGCAATGCCCAAGTCGTACCTTCCCTTTTGGAACCCTCACACGAAGAACCGGAGCTCGACTCGACTCGCTGGGGCACTTCCCTGGGATGTTCTGCAGGCCGTAGCTCCCGAACCAGGACGGCGAGAAGGCTTTTGCCACGCGCGCGCGCACTCGGAGGCCGTCCTGACGGCAGTGAGATCAGGAGACCGGGTCCCTGGCAGGCTTAAAGGAAGCCAAAGGAGTAAAAATCCAAACCGAACGCCGAAAACGATACGAGAACCCAGAGGATGGTTGAGCGTGAGGCTTGGATTGGGCCATTTAAGGATTTCGTAATAAACCTCACGTGGGTTCATGGGAAATAGGATACCGCCTTGGCCTCTCAAATGCGTGGCATTGAATCTGCTCTTCAACTCGTGAACAACACGAAACTTCTCGCACGAGGCAGGCAGCTGTTGCTGTCAACAAGTTGAACAAGCTCCGTGCGGCGAAATCACCGCCAGTGCGAACTAGGGAGACGTGCATGACGCAAGCTTGTAAAGCCAAGATACATGACAGGCTTGGATTGTCCCCTATCTTGCCCCTACAAGTTCTCTCCAACTGTGAGATGCTGCCTGTTGCCACCCATGCACAGTGATTATTAAGTGAACCACCACACGGGTATGTGTGTGTGTGTGTGTGTTGAAATAGGATTTGTGTGTTTTCCCCTTTGGCTTCTTTTGGAGTATCCTTAAGAAAATACACACAATCGCAATTTGCTTGAGCGCGACACCCGCAATGTCTGCAACAGCCGTTGGATCCTGCGTGGCCCCGTAAGCCACAGTGGGCACAAAGCCCCTGACCTCAGCCACGTCTGTCCCGAATCATAGCAAGCTAATTTAAAAAAGAAAATGAGGCAGTCTTAGTAACAACCCACATGGGGGACATCCGGCTTTGGTGATATAAGTACACTCCCCAGCGCTGATGCGCCTGGGGGCCTTGTCACAGGCCCGAAACCAGGAAGGTCCCCAAAACTTCCAACGAACAAAGGACACGCATCAAGTCGGAAACCTTTCTGCGGGTTGAGCTTGCGGCGGCATCGTACGTCCTCGAAGCAAAGGAAGCTGGTTGAGATGTGCGGCTTCCGAGATTCAGGGCCCCCCACAACAGCACCCCACCTAAAGTGAGATTCAATGGAGATGGCCTAAAAAAGTTATTGTCCAATCTACCAAAACAGGAAATATGGAGAGCCCTGAGATTGGTTCATCAGTTTATTGAACAAACCCTTGGAAAACGGGTCAAGTCTCCACAAAAATCAAACAAAAACATCCCCCGCCTTGTGCTTTGCGGTGTCAGTCTTAAACCCTACAATGGATGGGCTCCCCTGTTAAATCACCCAACACAAGTAGTATCCTCGAAAGACCCATGTTCGCACCAATTGCTGGCCTAATCGGTTGCAAAGCTGAACTCTTACAAGATTCAACACAAGCCAGCCAGACTTGGCTCGCTGGACAGTTCAAGGTCTGATAGTATCTTTTGCTAGAGGGTCGGTGTGTGTGTGTGTGCGTGTGAGAAGAGGAGCTGGATTCACCCGAAGAAAGAACCGGAATTTCTTCACGCTTGATCCACGAACAAGAGAACAGGCCGCGCCCCCCAAAACCACCCTCAACCAACACTCAATTACACTAACATTAAGCCCTGTCACCGTCAAATCACACCCGTCAACCCCCAAAAAGGGTCCCCTCATTCTGGACCCACCCGACGTCCAAGGCTCTGGTTCAAATCCAAATTCCAATCCAACTGCGAGTTCAGCGCGCCGCTGACCACCCCCACATCCTCCACCTGCCGTTTTCCCCACGCCCGGAACGGGCGCCCGAAACGGCACCATCTGCGGAAACCAAAACATGGAACCCCCAGAGGGACCATCTGTCAGGTTCCATGTTCTTCAGGTTCCATGTGGAACACCTTCATTCCTGGACCCCTTGTTTGGGTGCCAGGTCAATCTGAAGGGAGGTAAGCAACCAAATTGAAAAGACGGGCCCCGAGTTGGCACCAGGAAATGCCTAAGCTCTACGTCTCAGCGTGCGCAGCTTCAGTCTTGACAATCAGCTTTGCAGGTCCCGAAACCATGTACTAGTGTCAATGCGTTGGCACCAGGAAATGCCTAAGCTCTACATCTCAGCGTGCACAGCTTCCGTCTTGACAATCAGCTTTGCAGGTCCCGAAACCATGTACTA